AGCTTTAGCAGACGCCACTGAGTACATATAGGCTGAAGTTTTCGATATGCCACGTGTTTATCCCATGGATTTTGATTCTAAATTAATAAACATGTTTAGAAAATAGCCACAGGAATGCATGTTAAGAAATTACACGAGCCTCGTATTTTCTGCCACTGGACATAGACATTTATAAGGTGTCAATTTTTGAGAATATCCTCCTACTCAATATTTTAATCCTGTCCATGTGACCCAAAAATTTTGTTCTCAGGAACTAAATAAATGTTGGATTTTAAAATTTACCCTACCTCTTAATCATCCCAGAATGATTTAGGTATACAAAACATAAAAATAAACAAACAAACAAAACAAGAAAATACTCCAGCCAGCCTCATCTCTGAGTGGAGTACAATCCCCCTTAAGCTTTTCTCCCTTCCCCAAGCCCCCGCATCCCCATCTTTTCTCCCAGTGAAATTGCTTTCCTCTCAGCCACTTGAAAGGACTCTATGCTTCAGTTTCTTTTTCTCTGTCCCCAGGTCTGGGTTCTTCCCCACTGATCACTGTGGAAGGGCGAAAAGATGGAGAAATGCAGCTGATGTGCTCTTCAGATGGGTGGTTCCCACAGCCCCACGTACAGTGGAGGGACATGCAAGGAAGGACAATACCATCATCTTCCAAGGCCCTGACTCAAGACAGCCGTGGGCTGTTCCATGTGGAGACATTACTATGGGTCACAAACATCTCCACTGTGAACGTCACTTGTTCCATCAGCATCCCCTTTTTGGACGAGGAGAAAAGAGCAACTTTTAATCTCTCAGGTTGGTGATTCCATATATTCCTTCAGGTTTGGAAAATAAATATGAAGACCAACTCAGACCTACTCGCCGTATTGCTCTTCTTCCTTTTTGATTTTTATTTGCTTCTCTCTGACGAGGTCTCCTGCTATCTTCTGCAAAGCTGGTTTTCAGGACACTCGGATTGTACTCCTCTGAGTTTCTCCCTGACACCCTGAACTAGAGCCCTGCAATTACATTCATCATTGGATACACACTAAATTCTCATAAATGACCCTGTCTTCACTCTCCCTGTAAATTCTTTTCTTCTGATGTGAAAACAATTACAACACTCTCTTGTGTTTTTCCCTCACGGTAGATTTTCTTCTGAATTAGAAACTGATTTTCATTAGCACCATCTTCATGGCTGTGGCTGGAGTAACTTTATCCTTCTCCCTCCAAGTCATTCCAGTGATTGTGTGATGCAGCTGGAAGAGAGAAGGAAAACAACTTGTCTGTGCATGTGTACATTTCTGAGACGAGCAAATACAAAATGCTTGCAGTCTCTCCTCTGCATCTCCAGAGCAGGGAGGAACAGGCCAACTGCCTCCTGAGATGCCCAGTTCTCTCCCTTCTCTCCAGCATAGAAGCTGCTCGGATGAAAAGCACAATTTTGATATTGTCTCAGTTTCCGTTTCATGGGATTCTTGGGTTTCCATTTTAGAGTCCAGGATGACTTTTTTATGGAAGACAGTGCTTATTTTGGGATTGCTTCTTACTGTGGCTGTAGGCCTGCTCAGGAGGAGGAGCTGAAAGAGGTAAGTCACAGAAACAGAAACAGCGGAGCACATGCAGTGGGAACCATACCGCGCACTTCCCCAAGCCTCCCTTTTCAGAAGTCACCCATGGGACGTTCAGTGACTATCCAGTAACTAAGGAAATGTGAGAAACAGGAAAGCACAGGGCTTATTATGCACTACAGGCTCAGTAATGAATGAGATTAGAGTTTCCACTTGTAACAGAAGCAAAAAGGTTAAAAGATAATGATTGTATTCCCTGCTGCCCATTTCCCAGTGATCTAGCTAAGGAGGAAGATGGAAAAAGTTAGTAGTATAGCCATCCTTGTTTTTGAAGCTGAGAGCTGGGGTTCACTGAGACTTGTCGGCATGAACGTTGTCCTGTGATCTTTAAAAACGTGGTGACCTCCTTGTTGGTGATTTCTGTTTTGCTGGTGACTTCTCATCTGTTAGGGAGGCTGTTTTGGGTGCCCTAGAAAGGGCTTCCACTTTTAATATCTTATGTCCATAAAACACTTGTCTTCCTGTTTGGCTGTTAATAGCATGAAATTATATTGATTAATTATCAGAATGGTTTCTCTTTCTTTACAGTGACTGTGACACTGGCTTCAAATACAGCTCATCTGAAACTGATTTCTTCTGAACAAAACAAAAGTGTGATCCATGGACTTTCGGGCAGCCAGACGTCCCACAGAGATCTGATTGTCTGCTCTATGGGCCAGCGGGAACTCCTGTCAGGGAGCTGGTACTGAGAGGTGGAGGCCGGGGACAGGGTGCAATGGGTCCCGAAGGTTGCCAAGCACATGTTGCAATGAAAGGAGTCATCTCTGGGTCACCTCACAGTGAGTTTTAGGCAACGGATTGCAAAAGAAATAAGTACTGGGCCATCAGCTCTCTTCCAAGCCTCCTCTTCTTGAAGGTGGCCCCTGAACAAGTCAATCCCCCTGACCGTGCCTCTGAATACCTCTCCTCTTGTAACGTGATTGGCAAGTGCCCTATCTACACCTTCCCCAAAACTTCCTTCTCTGAGACTCCACAGCCCTCTTCATTCTTTGGTTCCCTAACGTAGGTTCTCTGGACATTTTTTCTGTACCCATAAGAACATCTCCAACATATCCAAGGAAAATACAATCTGGGATTCTGGAAACCAAGATGATAGTCTGAGTCCTGATCACTTTCTCCTTTCTCTACCTGCTTGAAGGGGGCTCCCATGATCATCAGCATACCAAGTCAAGGGTGCTTTAATTCTACTCAGGAAAATCTGCTGGAGACCAATCCCTTCAGAGACCTATTCTGTCCCAGGTTCTCTGAGATTCGGCGTAACAATCACAGTCTGACATCTGATAATCAAGGACCCTTAGAAAACCCCATGGGAAATACAATTTAGCCTACGGGAAGAAATGAAAGGAATAATCAAGAATTTGATCAGTTCCTTTTTTCTTTTTCTTTTTCTTTTTTTTCTGAGACAGAGTCTTGCTGTGTCATGCAGGCTGGAATGCAGTGGCGTGATCTTGGCTCACTGCAACCTCCACCTACGAGGTTCAAGCAATTCTCTTGCCTCAGTCTCAAGAGTAGCTCAGATTACAGGCATGTGCAACCATGCCCGGCCTATTTTTGTATTTTTAGTAGAGATGGAGTTTCACTTTGTTGGCCAGGCTGGTCTCAAACTCCTGGCCTCAAGTGATCCACTTGCCTCAGCCTCCCACAGTGCTGAGATTACAGGCAGGAGCCACCACCCCTGGCCTGATCAGTTTCTTTAAGATGGTGACAATTAATTGTTCACATAGGTGGAACTGAGAAAAAAAATTTTTTTAATACAGTTTAAAAGAGTGAGCAAAGCTGCTGAAGAGGGACAAAAATCTGATCACTAAAATGTAATCTTGGAAATCTTATAAAGTGTTGTAAAATCCCTACTCCAGATTTTCTGAGAAAGTTAATACAGGAAATGGAGTTAGGAAAAAATTTTAGACTTTCCAATCCAGGAGAAAAATTACGTATCACCTATATGAACATGTCAATTTTATTGTTAGAGCAAAATAAAGTGCACAATTTAAAATTAATAATTATAAAATAAACAAATATAAGCAGTACATGTAACACAGTAAAAATATTTTAAAGTGATATTTCAAGAAGATAAACTATATGTGGAAAAAGGGAGACTGCCAACGAGAAAGACTCTTGGAAAGAATGTTTTGAAGTGAGAAGAAGAATGCCTGCCAGTGGCACTTGGGGCTTTCCAGGATGGCGACGCCACACAGGCATCCAGGTCCTGTGTGGATCACTCACGTACAGCACTCTGGACTTGCTCTTCTGGGCCATCGTATTTTTTTTTCTATTTTTAAACTCATAAATTTAAACACATGAATGTTGGAAACTATGCCTTCTTCTTCCCCAAAGGTACACATTTATTTTATTAAACATTTTTTAGAATTGTGGTTAAAATACACATAACATAAAACTTTTACCCTTTTAACCATTTTAAAGTGTGCAATTCTGGGGAAATACACATAACATAAAACTTACCCTTTTAACCATTTTAAAGTGTGCAATTCTGGGGTGTTTTGTATGTTACATTGTTGTGTCATCATCATCACTTTCTAGTTCCAGAATATTTTCATCACCCTTAAGGAAACTCCATACTCATGAAGCAGTTACTGCCCATTTTTCACCCCTTACTCCCGGGTAATGTACGTTCTGTCCCTATGAACTTTTCTATTCTGAATATTTTATATAAATGGAATCGTAAAATATCTGTCTGTGTGTGTATGTGTATATGTTTGTGGCTTCTTTCACTTAGCCTAATATTTTTAGAGTTCTTCCATGTCATAGCATGTACCAGTGCTTCATTCCTTTTAAAAAAAAATTAACAGACATTATTTTTAAGAACAGTTTTAGATTTATGACAAAATGGAAAGGAAAATCCAGGTAGCTCCTATGTCCCTCCTCTCACTCCCATGGATATTTCCCGTTACTAAGATCTTCCATTACTGTGGCACATTTGTTACAACCCTTGAAAGAATAGTGACACATTATTTTCAACTAAAGTCCACAGTTTACATTAGGTCCATTTTTTGTGTTATATAGTCTCTGGAGTTTAACAAATGATTTTTACATTTATAATGATATATCTTTATGAAGACTTAAATTTATTAGTAAATATATTAGGTTTATCTGAAAATATGTTAACATTATTTTGATTTAATGTAATTTAAAATAATTTATTGTACAACATCTAAAGGTTAACTATTATTTTTCAGTTACTTTTGAGTTTTCTTTCCTAGTCAATGTAGCTCTTTGCTTGTTAGTCTGTGCTTGTGAGGGCCCTATTAATTAATAAATTCATTTTCCGGGGGAAAGTCTCATGAAAATTGTTTTTTATCAGTCATGTTCTCTCACTGTATATTAAAAAAAAATACTTTCCTATAGCTTCCGAAATTGGTGATTAATTTACCTTCTGAGTTCCGATTCCAGTTAGAAAAGCCACGGGAAGGAGATGATGCCCCAGTTGCTGGAAGCCCCTATGGCTGATGGGTGGGTCATTGGGGGGTGCCTCAGGATGCAGTCCCCTCCCCTCCTGGTGTGTAGACAGCTGGGTGCAGTCATTAAAGCAGAGCCTCTCTCAGAATAGATGTCCAGATTGGCTGGATCTCAGTTTCAGGGAGAGGACGGGAGGAAGCCACAGAGAATAAATTGTTAACCTGCCTGACACTTTCTTCCTTTGTCAATACAATTTAACTTCCATGAGGACAGTGATTTCTTCTTCTTTTTTGTCTAGCCCCACAACCTATAAAAGTGACATATATTGATTTATCGATACACATTTATAAAATGCACGAATGGTTTCATCAAATGATATTTGTTGAATATCTTACCTGTTGAGTGTGCTGTGCTGGGCTACAGATGCAATCCTTAGTGAGACATAATTCCCTCCCTCAGGTCTTTCTTTTTTGCAGTAGAGTCACTTTGTTTTTGGGATGTCTGTGAAATGGAAAGTTTATACCTGCACAACCTTTACTAAAAGCAGTAGTACCAAAGTAGTCCAGCAATAAAGAATTAATTGATGTAGCCACGTGGTGAATTCACTTTTCCAGAAAGGACAGGCTACTTGGAGACCCTACACTACTTATTGATTTGTTCACAGCTACAAATGAAAATAAGATAAACACTGTTATACCTGACATTCCTGAAGCTCTGAGTCCAACAGACCACCTACCTTCATGTGTTTTCTACTCCGTCTCCCACCAGCCACTGCTCCCCAGTCCCTAAGCTTAGAAGGACAAACACCCATTAAAATGAGTAAAGAAGTGACAAGTGGAAGAATCTTGTCGTAGAAAAAAATATGAATTTAGACTCTGAAGAAGAGATAGTAAAAACTCCTCTTGAGCCTCATACTGAATGTCCTAAGTGTATAAGAAGTAAAATATCAAAGGCTGAACCTGTTACCTTTCTTGTTTTTTATAACAGTTCCACCCCCACCTGTTCCTGTTTTGTTGTTACCCCATGTTTAGGGTTCACATGTCCAGAAGTCCCTCCTCACCCACCATGCCTATTTGATTATAACTATTAATATTTTATCACTGTTTATTTACCTCTGTCCTGGCTTGATTATTTCTTGATGAATATGTAAGCCTCCCTTTAGGGTCAGTGAAATTAGGACTAGGCTCTGGGTTGATTCTTCCTGGCTTCAAATACTGTCTTTGCTACTTAGTATGTGCTGGGAAATTTTACCAAGGAGATACAGCTTGCAGGAGAGGTTGTTTAGAAGGACTTGTAGTTTACAGATCTGCAGATACTCTAGAAAAAAAATCTAAGGGGATCTCTTCCATCATTGGGAAGAAAGAATTCATTTAACAGGAGAAGCTCAGCCTGGGGCAGTGGCTCACACCTGTATCCCAGCACTTTGAGAGGCTGAGGCAGTGGATCATGAGGTCACGAGATCAAGACCACCCTGGCCAACATGGTGAAACCCTGTCTCTACTAAAAATACAAAAATTAGCTGGGCGTGGTGGTGCCCACCTGTAGTCCCAGCTGCTCAGGAGGCTGAGGCAGAATTGCTTAAACCTGGGGTCGGAGGTTGCAATAAGCCAAGATAGAGAGACTTTGTCAAAAAAAAAAAAACAGGAGAAACTCATATTCTATATACTTGAAGACAAACTTGGTGATAAACAGCTGGAGAAGTCTTAGATACAGTAAGGACAAGGAAAACCCTCAACAGTGGGTAGAACCAGTCAGGAAGAAGAATGCTGGCCGGGCGCAGTGGCTCACACCTATAATCACAGCACTTTGGGAGGCCAAAGTGGACGGATCACCTGTCAGGAGTTCAAGACAAGCCAGGCCAACAGGGAGAAACCCCATCTCCACTAAAAATACAAAAAAATTAGCCAGGCATTGTGGTGGTCACCTGTAATCCCAGATACTTGGGAGGCTGGGGCAAGAGAATTGCTTAAACCCGGGAGTCAGAGGTTGCAGTGAGCCAAGTTTGCACCATTGCACTCCAGCCTGGGCGACAGAGCGGAACTCCGTCTCAAAAAAAAAAAAAAGAAGTATGCTAATGTTAGCAATGACTCTTGCTACAGATGTTTCTTTATTTCTACTTTACTGCTTTCTCTCCCAAAGCATAAACTGCAACACCGGCTCCTCTTTCATTCACATTCTCACATAGGATGCAATAGGACTTGCTGACCCGTAAGAACTTGTAAAAGAAAATGGCTCTTTCCTTCCGGAAGGCTTAGGCTCCGCCTCCAAAGATTTATAGTTATACATGAGCCTTCCCTGTCCCTTGACAAAGTCCAAGATTAGGAGGTGATGGTACACTAGAGCCTGAGGAGCAAACACACTGAGCTATTAAAGGACTTGAACATATTGCTGTGCATCTCCAACACTGGTAACGGAAGTGAGAATTCTCTCTACTGCAATAGTTCCCTTCAAATGCCACCCTCCTCCATACGGGATAACAAGAATAGTAAGAAGAGATCTTCACTGTAAATGTAGCTTGAAAATTATTTATTTCAACACGTACTCAGCATGAAAACAGATGAGAAACCCATGCACTTGTTTGGCGTTTTCTTGTGAGAAATTGTTGCTGCCCACAAAGAGACTGTATTTCCCCAGTGGTAACACTGGAGGAAATCTCCCTGGACATTTTCCAGTTCGCTCATTTCACTTTCTGACTCTCCCTCTTTGATAGAGGCTGAAATCACACCTAGTAATATTGACCTGCTCACCATCCAAGGACAGCTTTCCTGACGACGTACCTAGAAGACACTCCAGTGGAGACACGGCGGTGCCAACACTTTGCTGCTTATTATGCTAATAGAAAGTTAGCTTCCTGGGCAACAACTCTACCATGACTCATTAAAGAAATTACAGAGGTAATTGGAAAAGAATCGGGATAATTTTCACCATGATCTAAGCAGAAGAACACAGATGTGTGGGCACCCTGAAGGCTAGAATTAGGATGGAAAATCCCACAGGTGATTCCAGTAGGGGAATAGATGTGGGAATGATCAACCTTGTTGTAAAAGGCCACACCTCTAGCCTTGCTGTCCTGGAAATCTTCTATCTTATGCAGGGATAGGGTAGGCTCCTGACAGAGTCTCTGTGCAGGAAGTGAGAGCCATGACCCTTCATTCGTCGCATGCATCCATGCAGAAATTCTTCTCTGGACTTTCTACAAACCACCCCCCTCTCTTCGTTGTGCTGAATGAACACCCAGAGTTCATCTTGTTCCTGGTCCAACTTCTGTCCCCGTTGTTTACTTCTACCTCCCAGTAACGTCTGTCTCCCCTGTAGTAAACCCAGAAAACTGAAGATGGTTTCAGATTCCCCTTGTCCTTAGTGTGTGGGGGCTTTACAGTTCTGGAGAGCATTCTTTATTGAAGAAATGTATCTTCTACCCTCAGGATGAGGTCGGGATGAGCTGCATCTGGATCCAGAGATACAGCCTCTGCACGTATAGTTGGAAGAAAGGAGGAAAGCTGCAAATACTGGGAAGGCAGGTGGAGAAAAACAAGAAGGAGAAAAGTGAATGGTTAGGTAAAACTGTCTTCCATCCTAGGGGACACAAGATGTGTAAGTCCTAGAAGGCTAGGGTTGGACAGAATCTTCGGTAACCATCTATTCCAGACAGGCTGGGATGACTGTCACATCTGAAAGTCTTCCAGGGTCAGGTTTTCAGGATGGGGTCCTCCCTATTCTCCAAATGCCTGTTACTTTATTGCTTGTTCTTAAAATTAAATCTTATAGTATCTCCAGTCATGGTGTGTCCACTTTCATTTGAGCCTCTTCATTTTCATTTTCTGTGGGTTTATGTAATAACTGGGCCATCCACTTCTCATACACCTTTATTATATTTCTAGTGATTGAAATCCCAGGCCTTGTAGTCAAAAAGATCTGAATCTTGATCATTGCTCTTTCCTTAATAGCTCTGATCTTGGTGACATTATCTTGCTTCTTTCAGGCACACTGAACTCTCATAATGATGCAAATAATTATAATACTCAGCACAGGACTATCATGAGAAATAAGTAAGATAGTATACAGAGAACATAATACTATGATTTCTCCATGATGAACATTTGGTTAATTTTAGCTTCCAATACTTAGAGTAACACTAACAGCAGAGGAGATCATAGCAATAGTACTAATACTGGTAGTAATAAATCTTCTCAAACCAAACATCCTCAGTAATTAAAATTTTTCTCCTAAGAATTTGTGTTTGTAAATTAGAATATGTTTGAATTTGGGGAGGATTAAATTAATTAGGAAATGTTTGTAGGTGTGGGGCTATTTAAAGTGACATGTATTAGAAATTGATAACCCACAATTCTAGGAAGACTCTAAGATGGTCATGGACCATTTTTCACTTCACTGAAATGCAACAAGCTCTTCTCCATCTCAGGCTAGTTAAACAATAGACCTCCTTCTGACCAAATTATCTTTCAGCGTTATTCACATGAATACATCCGCCATGTTGCTCAAGTCTCAGCTTAAATATCACCTCATTGGGGGAATTCTTTGAATGCACTATTTTGTCTCTTGGTGATCTCTTATTCCTTCACAACATTCATCACAATTCGTATGTGCTCTTTCCCATAAAGCCAGAGGTCTGATCTGCTTTACTTATTTGACATTGAATAAATGCTTGTATATATTTATGCTGAATGAATGAATGGTCTCAGAACATTAAAAATATGCTAACGTTCCAGCATGGAATAGACAGAGAGTGAAAACCATGGAATGAATAACCAATAAACAAACGCAAAAGTTTCCCATTTGTACGGAAGATATTACGTGGGATGAAGTAATAAGGTAACTCACCTGCTTCAAACCTTTCTTCAGTCAAAAACAACAACAACAAAATCACATGGGAAATAATGCGAACGCATCTTATGTACTACTGGGATACTCTCCTCCCTCCTCCCTTTCTGGACTCCTAGCTTCAAAATAAAATTTCCAGGAGATGACACAACTCTGGAAAATACCCAGGAAATGCCTCATTAAATCCTGGGCAGAAAGCTAGACTCTGACACACTCAAGCAGTAATAATGCTCCTAAACAAATTGCCAGAGTTCTTTAGTGAAGATACTCCTGCTCTGCCATGGTCTGCAATCAGCTTGGAGAGGAGAGCTCGTAATGTGGAAAAATAACAATAGCAGGCAGCGTGTTTGAAGAGGTGGGAACCCACAAATGACAACTGTCTATGGTGTGAGCATAGACAACTCAGAGAAAACAAGTATCCTGGATAAACTACGTGCAGAGTGGGAAGAGGAAATACTATAAGATAAATTAAGGTGTTTTAAAGAAGTATGGGGCATGATTTTATGCCATTGCTAAAGTATAAGAACAGCTCAATCATTTGGTCTAATACTACGAATATTTTCCTTCAGAAGAAATTTTGATATAATCATTTAATGGATGTTCTCTGTCAGTATTCAGATTTTACAGATGACCAATGAGCAAAAGGTAAGACTCTTGTCATTTCAGGAAAGAATATGAATATTAATATCCATAACAATATAGGAGTAAAAGTGTAATGTTGAAAAGTGGACAGACACTAGTCATAGTTGATAGTAG